AAATGCTGCGTGTGATTTCTTAAATGAAAACTAACAGGAGTCCTAAAAACCACAAGCAGAAAAGAAATTGCTGAGTCAGTGGCTGTTGATCTTGAGGTTGTTTAATCTTTTATTTTTTTAACTTTTTTTTTTTTCATTGAGGAGTGGCCTGAGCTGTGGGGATGGGGAGATTAGGAAGCCCCAGAGCTAAATAAAGGGTTTAGCCAATTAGAACTGAGTGCCTTGGTAAGGATGGTTCAGGCAGAAAAGAAAACACTTCTGGTTTCAGGAGACCACTGCTGTGATGCTGATCTTATATAAAAGGGAGACATTGTAAGATGATGGAGAATTTGGAGTTCAGCTGATTGATAGAATTGGGTGTTAGATAAAACAATGCACAAGTAGAAGGGATTATTATACAAGGATTATGGGGGTTCAGGTAAGAAGAACATCGAGAGCAGATTCGGAAATACAGGATTTCTATAAGCAGAATCAATTTGACAGAAAAGCTTTGGTTGTTTGGTTAAATGCATCAAGGATTCCATTTAGTTAAAAATCAAGGAGAGGAGGTACATCAAAATGAAGTTGTATCAAGACCAAATGGTATTTTATTCGCTCCAACAGAAAGACCATGAGAAAATAAAACTTTCAGATGGACTATACCTTTAAAACTAGAAAGTTTCTAGAAGGTACTTCACATGCCTTTTTGTAAACATAATGAAATCTAGTTATAATTAAGCTCTCTTCCTATCTTTATGTATTGCTTGTTGTAAAGGAACTTTAATTTTCTAAGACCAATAGTAAAAATTGCATTCCTACTCTTCCATTTCCAAATACAAAATGAAGCTCTAAATGCAACAACTCTGGAACCAAGGAGCAAATAAATGTGACTCACTCACTCACGCCATTATCCATAAATAGGAGCAAATACATTGCTTTGGTGTGCATCACATAAAACATCTATAAAGTAAAAATAGGTTCTGTCATTAATCAGAATGATGGAGAGATAAAGTGAGGCCATGTATATAAAATGTAGAAAAATATGGACTCCAAATTGGACATAATTGAACATGGTTTCCTTTGAAGTATTTTCTTTCATCAGCCTCTTATGAAAATTCTACTGATTTTATTCATTCATTCATTTATTTATTTTATTCAATAGTATAGTATCTATATGTGCCAGGGAATGTTCAAGGTATCAGACAAAGTAGATAATTCTCCCTGTCCTAATGGAGTCTAAATTTTATCTCGCTATCTTTCTTTCATTCATTTTATTATTTATTTCCCTATTTCATTAATTGTATTTATTGCATACCACAACCCATATTGTAGTACTGGTGTGGACTGCTAAGCTAGACTGCTAACAGCAAAATTGGTGGTTCAAACCTACCTGCAACTCCTCAGAAACACTATACAGGGTTGCTACCAGTTGGAACCAACTCAATGGCACTTAACAACAGAACCTATATTAAGTGTGTAGTATCCATTCCCTTACTCAAATCTCTAAATAGCTCTCTGTGAGTAACACTAACATAGAAGAGTAAACTACCTAATCCAAGCCTTCCTAGCTAGAGGAGTAGCCTCAGTTTGGAGTCAGGTTCTGCTTTCCTATTTTCAAGTCCACTGCCATACCTTATTTTCTCATGTCATATCTTTGGTGGTTTGTTCATATCTGTCTATGATGGATATGTAAAAAAAAAAAAATGCCCATTTTAATTATTCACCTATGTTTTAAAATCCTTTACACTTTGCCTACTTCCAAAGCTCTAGGTCACGATCAAGTTGCTCGAATGTTGTTGTTAACTGCTTTCAAGTTGGTTCTGACTCATAATGATCCTGGGTAGTGTCTCCAAGGAGCCGATGGTGATTTGAACTACCAATCTTCTTGTTAGCACTCCAGTGCATATCCTACAGTGTCACACCAGGACTCCAGTCCTTAGAATAAGTATCCAAAAACTCTCCAGAGCCTCAAGGACCTGAGTCATGAGGCTCCACCTCTCTGTGCAATCTTATCTGCCTGCTGCCACTCACCCAGTCCTGTATGCCAGTAGGCCTGGTCTTCTTAGAGTCATTCAGATTCATCCAGCTCCCTCATACATAGTATGCTCTATAAATTTTGTGCTCTGGCTTGACAGAGACTGCAGTCCTACTTGCCAGTTTGTATTAATCGTTCAGGTGTTAGCTCATTGAACATAGAGGGCATGCCAATTACTCAAGAAACTAATTCAAGGTCCTCAGTCATATTACTGCAAATCTAGTGCATTTCCTTCTCCTAATTATTAGTTTGTGAAGATATATAAGTGTGATTCCATGTTGACTTCTCCTAACTTATCTTAAGGCTCCTTAAGGGATGGAGACATATGTCTTTTGCTCACCTTTTTGCCTTTAGACAAAATTCAGTGTCTAAAACTCCATGGGTAACAAGATAAGTGTACTAAGTATTGACTGAATGAACTGCCATAGATAGTTACACCATCACTTTAAAATCATCAATATTGAAATTAAAAGTTGCTCAGATGATAGACACTCTCTTGGATTTGTCTGTTTTTTTGATGGGCTCACCATATCCAATATGATTCAGCTTAACCTTTAGGAATCCTGGATGGCACAAATGGGTATGTGCTTAGCTGAAAACAAAAAGATGTTTGAGTCCATCCAGTGGCCTCTTTAAAGAAAGGCCTAGCACTCTACTTAACAAAATATCTACTAAAAACCCTCTAAGTACAGTTCTATTCTAACAAACATGGGGTTGCCAAAGTTATAGATAACCATTAGAAAAATGGTTGTTACACTGAGAAGACCCTAAGTAACTGGATGGTAACAGCTTTTTGTTTGCTTTGTTTTCTTTCATTTTGATTGTGTGTCCATATGATAAGCACTGAATTGTGAACCACAAGGTTTGAGGTTCAAGCTTGCCAGCTGATTAACAGGACAAAGGTGAAGCTTTCTGTTCCAGAGAAGATTTGAAGCCGCAGAAAACCTACACGACAGGGTTGCTATGAGTCATAACCAACTGCTAGCACTTAACAACAGCACATGTATGTGAGGGTAGGGGGAATCACACTTGTACCTTCTATATATGTCTTGGTAGTGGTGGTGATGTACCGTGGAGTCGGTTCCAACTCATAGCGACCCTGTACAGGGTTTCTGAAGATATAAATCTTTAAGGGGGCAGAAATTCTCATCTTTCTCCTGCGGAATAGCTGGTAGTTTTGAACTGCTGACCTTAAGGTTCACAGCTCAATTCGTAACCACTACACTAAGCTGAAACCTTGAATTATCTGTTTCAGCTCTCCACATCTCACAGGTGGGTCTAGAGAATGCTGGTATAGGATAAGCATTGGACCATAATATCTGTTTGAACCATAAGGCTGGCAATTCAAACTCAACAGCCACTCTTCAGAAACCCTATACAGGGTTCATATGAATTAGGACTCATTCGACAGCACTTGGCAACAACAACAAACAATGAGGTCTACAGCTGTGACACCTCCAAATATACTTTCCCATAATCAGAACTCAAGTTTTTCATTATGTCGAATAAATATTACTTATATTTCCAAAATTATTCCTAGGTTATAGTCTTCTTATTGTGCACATATGTACTGTTGTTGTTGTTGTGTGCCGTGGAGGCGGTTCCTACTCATAGAGACCCTACACAGGGTTTCCGAGGCTGTAAATCTTTACGGGAGCAGACCGCCTCATCTTTCTCCAGCGGAGCGGCTGGTAGTTTCGAACTGCTGACCTTGCGGCTCGCAGCCCGATTCATGACCACTACGCTACATATACATATTTCATTTCAGTATCTTATTCCTTTATGATGAGCTCATTAGGTATGGATTACATCTCAATGTAAAGAAAACAAAACCCCTCACCATGCGACCAATAAACAACATTCTTACCAATGAAGAAGAGATTGAAGTTGTCAAGGACTTCATTCTTCCTGAATCAACCATCAATATTCATGGAAGCAGCAGTCAAGAAATCAACTGATGTATTACATTAGGCAAATCTGCTGCACAAGACCTTTTTAAAGTGTTGAAGAGCAAAGATGTCAGCTTGAGGACTAAGGTGTGCCTGACTCAAGCC